CAAATTCGTAAAATTGACCAGATCACCTTCCTCAAGGTACATTAATACAGAGAAAGTGCTGAAGAGCTTTCTGTATCCCTCCGTGTCTCACCTACAGCCTCACAGAGCGCAGTGAAGGCTGTGGAGGCTGACCAGGTCTCGCGCTGTTCTGAAAGGCCTCACAGCAGCCTGGACCCAGAGCCCATCCCAGCCAGCAACACTCCTGCACAGGACACACACAACTTCCCCTCCCCTCCAGACTGTGGAAGGCAGCTGGAGCGCCTGGAGGAAGCCCACGCGAACATGGGGACGACATGCAAGCTCCACACAGACAGCACCCCAGCCCTGGAATCGAACCCAGGGCCCCGGCGCTGCGAGGCAGCGATGCTGACCGCTGAATAAAACTTCTGTGGTCTTCCTGCAAAGGAAATAATCCGGACCCTGGGAGCTGCTGACCCGGACCAGCCTCTAAGCGGCACACTTGTGCTGCCACGCCCTGCTGCTCTCTCGCATCTCTCCCCACGGCAAGCCTGAGCACCACAGCAGAGCCTGCTGAGCACTTTAATGGAGGAAGGGTCACAGCTTTCTGCCCCAGGGATGTCTTGTTCTGCAAAACTCGACTTTTTCTCTGCAGTGTTGGTGCCCCTAGCAAACGCACAGCGAAGATTTTGCACTGGACAGAAATAGAAATTCTCCAGCGTGTCAGTGCTTCCCCTGTCACCTGGTGACCTGCCTGTCCGATTTCACGCCACCTTGCTTGGGCAACAGCTCACAGGCCTCACCCCTGCCCCCCAGGTCTGCATCCGTGCTCCCTCCCACCCCTGATCGGGGTAAGAAGGGAGAGAAGGAACCGAATCTCTTTAGTGTTGAACAGAAAAGACTACAAGGGAATTTCCCCCAAGGCCCTGAGGAACCCAGCAGACCTCTTCAGAGCCAAGAGTGAGAAACAGACCTGAGGACACAGGTGGCAACTATGTGGAGGTGCTGATAACAGCAGGCATTTCTTTACACAGAGGGTCTACAATGTATGTATACGGGATAGAAAAGCACAAGAAGGTAAACTATGGCCAAGCCAAGTGAATGCAGAGCCAAAGCATGGAAAAAAGGCAGCGATTCTGCGGGCGCAGACAGAGCGCTGTTTTTCTGTGCTCAGACCGCTGGCACGCTCGACAGAAAAATAAAACTGCTTCCATTCCAGAAACAAGCCAGGCGCTCGCCCTGCACTGAGTCATCTCCCTGCCGTCCCTGCTGCTTTTGCAGATGTTTATGCATCAGAGAAAAAATGATTTCCTTTGCACACAGCCCCGGGCGTGTCCGCGGAGAACACCCTCAGGATGACAGAGCTCTGCTTGCAAGGGGCTCTGCCCCGCGCCAGACCGCGAGGGTGCGAGCCGCCAGCGCCGTCCCCCGCCGCGGCCCCCTTCCCGAGATCGATTCCAGGCCTGCCGGTCGCAGGGTGAAACTGGGGCTGCGCTACGCCTGAGTTCGCATCACGATGATGAAGTCGCGCGTTCCTGCGGGCAGGCTGGGGAGCCTCTCCCTGGAAGCCCAACACCTGCTCTCTCGCTCTCCGCAGTCTCCCCCCCCAGCTCAGGGAGCTCCCAGAGCTGGCCGGGGGGGGGGTTTCTGCTGGAGCGGTAAGCTCCGCGAGACACAAAAGACAGTAGGAAGCCATCCTTCACAGGGAACTGACTCGCTGGCGCTCTGGGCTCCGACATCCGCAGATCTGAGGCTGCAGCAGGAGCGCGGGGGCCTGGGCGGCCGGCTCTGGGGCTGTGAACGCCTGTCTGGAGGCCCAGCTGGCGACAGGCCTGTCCCGCAGGGTCCCCCGGGGCCCCAGCACAGCCCTGCTGACTTAGGAGGCGCTGCTCAGATCACGCCGCACGGGGTAACGGAAGATCAGTTTCCCTTCAGACCCACACCCGCGGGGACACAAGCGGAAACCAAGCAGAACTGGCTTTTAAAACCGAGAACAGTTTCGCTCCTTTACGCCAAGGGTGGTGGGAGTCTGGAACGCGCTAACCAGCCATGTTGTCAAAGCTGGTCCTTTGGCTTCTTTTAAGCAACAGTTGGATGAGACCACTGTAATTAACTGCTAGCAATTAAACAAGCCTGCTCTCGCGCGTAATGCTTCTGGTGTTCACACTGCAAATGTTTCACATGATTTAAGAGCTGCTGGCTTCTGTTGGGTCTCAGTGCCATCAGGTGATAGCTGTGCCCTGTGATCCAGCCCAGCCTTCCGCCCTGCCTGCTCTGGAGGTCCCCTGGAGGAGGTCCGGACCAGCACACGCACAGACTGCGTCGGCACCGCGTGGGAGAAGAGGAAGAAGGGAGCTGTGCTCTCGCTGTGCCGTGGGAGTCTGGGTGCTGACTCGAGCGAGAGGGGCCGGGGGTGCAGCAGCGGATATTGCCTTTCCTGTTTACTCTGCGCTGCAAAAACACTGAGCTTAATGAGCGAGCGCCCCCCGCCCTGCCCCCGTGGGTCGCATCAAAGGCTGACCTCCTGACCCACGACCCCAGGCTGCAGGAGTCAGCGGACAGGCCGGAGCAGCGCGTCCTGGAGCCCAGGGCTGATCCCATTCCCAGAGCAGCTGTCTGTGTGGCACTGCCAGGCCTCAGTGCCGCCCCTGTAGAACCGCAGGAAGTCCATCAGGCCATTCAAAGAGGTCGTCCCCAAAGGGAAGGGATCCCCAGGTGTGCGATTCTCCATCTTCAGGTGGTTCGGAGGATTGAAAGCTCTGCGAGCTCTGCAGCTCCTCCTCTTGGGTCTGTTCGCCGAGGAGCTAACAGCACTTGTGTGCTGCTTGTAAGACGCAGCTGAGTACGAGCACGGGGCTGGATCCAGAGTGTCAGACAGTAAACATTCCCCTTCTGGGTGCCAGAAGTGTTACAGAGCTCCGGCTCAAGCAGCAGGGTGTTCGTACGACATCCCGAAGCAAATATTAACACACGCAGCCTTCTGCCAGCTGGCCCTGTCCCGTCCACAACAACAACACCGGAGAACGCAGTCCTTGTTTCCAAGCACAGCAGTTCACTGAAGAAATTTCCCCGGCTGCTCGAATGTAAACTCAGGTGAAAATGCAAGATTTGCTCGATTTCCTACATGGAAGAAAACATTCTTTTTCTACTCCACTGTCTGTGCAAACCTACAGGTCCATTTCTAATTTCACTACAAAGGTTCACAGGGCATTAGTGGGAACGAGATGCTGCTGTACACATGCACAGCAGAGCGCAGGAAATCATACAGGTAAGAATGTGCTGAAACCCAGGAGAAATTAGAACTGTCGTGATGGTTTCTGTGGGACACCTTCATGACAATAGACTCAGTGCATAGTAGAGCCACAGGACCATGAACCTGTCAGCTGTCAATCAAGTGGCAGCTTCCCTTCGGGCAGCCCGAGCTGAGCCCCAGTCTGACCTGCACAGCCCCCCTCTCACCAGGCCGGGGGGCAGAAAAACCGAGCACCACGATGGCTCTTCCCCTCCGAGAGATTGCTAGCTAATTATCCCTCCCGTGCTGGCGCTCGGAGAGCCAGCGCTTCCGTAAGCGGTGCACATCTGTGTGCAATAATGACGCAGGCCTGTTTTCCAGGGATA